TGTCCAGCTTCCTGCTAATGCAGGCCCTGGGAAGCAGCAGGTGATGGTTCCAGGCACTGGGTCCCTGCCACTCATGTGAGAGACCTAGATTGAGTTCCCAGATCCTGACTTTGATGTGACCTGAAGGGTCACCTGATGTGGCCTTTGATGGGCACTGAAGGAGTGGACTAACAGGAGATATTCATTCTCTTTCCACCTTCAAGATAAACCTTTTTTAAAAAGAACTAAAATTACTAAGCCATTACTGTTTTGGCTGTGTATTGATATAAATGAAAGACTCCCTAGGTCTCTGCTACAGCCTATAGTCTACATTTGGACAGACTTTTTTATTGGAGAGGTATAGGTTGGTGTAGGAACCCAATCTACACCAGCTTGTGTACACTTCAGTTTTGAACATTCAATCTAAGTTTACATTGCCCTGGGTAATAATCAATAAGAAAATCACCACATTTTTCTTGGCAAGGACTGTGTAAATGGAACTATATTGATTTCACTAGGTTGTAATGTGTTAGTGATAGTCTGCCAGTGAGTGCTGGGAACCAGGCCTGAGTCAGAAAGGGTACGTTCCAGCGTTCCCCTTAGTATCAAACCCATGTTCAAGAGCCAAGTGACACCTTTTCACTTTAGGGCCTCTGCTTGTGAAGTGAAAATGTTGGACTTGCTCTCTGAGGTTCCCTTTAGCTCTTATAGTCTCTGTTTCCCGAGGGCTGGTGTATTGCATCAGGACTCAACCTGGGGTTTGTGCTGTGTCTAGGCCCAAAGGAACAATCTCATCGTTTTTGTTCCAAGGAGATGGGTTGCATTACCCCTCAGAGCCCAATAATACAGTGAGCTGTCAGCACTATGAGGTGTTTCTTCATTAGGGACCAAGCCTCACCTATTTGTAGTAGTCTAGAAGGATTTTAGAATGATGCCATGAGATGTAATTTTTGTAATCAACTAGTTGCATACTAAGAAAGTTTGTCAGGACCCATCCCTATAAGTACCATTCTGTCTTTACAGTAGGAGAATTTGGGTATAGCACCTTTAAAAATATCCCTCTGTATTTAAAGAGTCCCATTGGCTTCTTAAGAACCAAAGCAATTTGGGGCCCGGCGTGGTGGCGCAGTGGTTAAAGGTCCTCACCTTGCATGCCCGGGATCCCATATGGGTGCTGGTTCTATCCCGGCAGCCCTGCTTCCCTTCCAGCTCCCTGCCTGTGGCCCGGGAAAGCAGTCGAGGACGGCCCAAAGCTTTGGGAACCTGCACCCGCGTGGGAGACCTGGAAGAGGCTCCTGGCTTCGGATCGGCATAGTATCGGCCGTTGCGCTCACTTGGGGAGTGAATCATCGGACGGAAGATCTTCCTCTCTGTCTCTCCGATCTGTGTATACGCCTTTCCAATAAAAAAATAATAAAAAAAAAATAAATCGTTAAAAAAAAAAAAGAACCAAAGCAATTTAGCAAAGAACATAATTGTTGATGAATATAATCCTACAAATGTTAGTGGGAAATGTCTTGATTTTAAGGCTTTTTAAGAAAATGAGCTGACATTTGCTGACTTTTCACTGTCTTCCTAATGCTAGTTATGATCCTTGTACAGCGCTGTGAGGGGCAGGTAATATCTGTAGTTGTCTTTTGACATTGGTAACCTTTGTTTTCTGGGTGACTTTGGAATCAGTATCAGAGGAAATGCTGATCTGAATGATTGCTCTTCTGTTACTCACTCGTGCACACTGTTTCACTGTGTAGTGTGATCACAGCCTAACACTGGAAGGTTCTCCATACTGATGGAAATCATAACATACCTTTCATGCTGATAGATCTCTGCTCTTTCCCAGGTTTTGGCTGGTGCTGTCACTGCTTAACAGAGTTGACATTGCTCATAGCAACAGTGGGCTCTGGGGAATGGCTAGCAAGCCGTCTGGGAGGTGGGGTGTAGATAAACTGTTTCTGTGGAAATCTCTCTAGGGAACCCAGTAGTCACCTGTTGTTAATTACTTTACCCCACAGTCTAATTACTAAGGGTATTGTCTGATGCATTTGTGCTGCTGTAACATGGTGCAGGAGCCATAAACTGGGTGGCTTATGAACAAGAATATATTTCTCACAGTTCTATAGGATGCAAAGTCCAAGATCAAAGCAATATCAGATTTGATGGCTAATGAGGGCCTGCTCTATATCCCTCTAGAAGCAGGTTCACAAAAGTGGTTTATAGAAAGTTTCTTCCTGTGTTATCATATAGTGGAAAGATTAAAGAACTCTCTGGGTATCATGCTATTCAAAAGGCTCTGCTGTCACTTAATACTACGAAGGCACCTAATATTATCAACTTGGGGATTAGGTTTCAACATATGAATTTTGGGGTGAGGGATAAAAACAGTGCATTATGAGTATGAATTTTTTTTAAAGTTATTTAATTGCAAAGTTAGAGAGAGTAACAGAGACAGGTCTCCCATCACTTGCCAAATCCCCGTAACATCAGGACTGGGCCAGGCCAAAGCCAGGAGTCCAGGTGGAGACCCAGGCATTTGGACCATCATCTGCTGCCTCCCGTGGTGCACGTTAGCAGGAAGCTGAAATTGGAAGTTGAACTGAGACTTCAGTCCAGGCCCTCAGATGAGTTATGTGGGTGTCCCAAGCAGTGTGTTAGCCAACCACTCAACCAAACGTCTGCCCATAAGAAATATTCAGTAAGTACATGTCTTCTTGCTAAGCTTACACTTTCCCCAAACACTGTGTATGTGGAGATTCACTAAGAGCATAACTCATAGCTCTTTTTAAAAAAGATCCTTTTTAGGGCCCAGCACGGTAGCCTAGCGGCTAAAAGTCTTCACTTTGAATGTGCCGGGATCCCATATGGGCGCCAGTTCTAATCCCGGTGGCCCTGCTTCCCATCCAGCTCCATGCTTGTGGCCTGGGAAAGCAGTCGAGGACGGCCCAAAGCCTTGGGATCCTGCACCTGCATGGGAGACCCGGAAGAGCTCCTGGCTCCCAGCTTCAGATTGGCACAGTACTGGTTGTTGCAGTCACTTGGGGAATGAATCATCAGAAGGAAAATATTTCTCTCTGTCTCTCCTCCTCTCTGTATATCTGACTTTGCAATAAAAATAAAATAAATTAAAAAAAAATAAAAATATCCTTTTCAGTTTCCCTTCCTTTGGTAGTCTTACCACGGTTAATGGTGATACTGCTTAATCAAGTCTTGAACTTAATAAGTTTGAAAGTATCTCACAGCCAAGAAATAATCAAGTTCTATTTGCTTGTTCCATCTCCGGAAATCTTTTAAATCCATACCGTTTTTTTCATCCCCTATGTCATTTATTTCTCCCCTAGATTATTTCAGTATCTCTTAACTATGATACAACTCTAATAATTTAATCTTCTTGTCTGTCACCAAGTTATCTATTTTTTTTTATGGCACTCTTAATAATCTATGCCTTTTGCTTTGTTACTGTTCTGTACTTTGCTTCTTTGAAGAAAGTTTATTTTTTTTCATTTACTTGAAAGGCAGAATGAGAGCAAGAGGGAGAGACCACCCATCTATCCACGAGTTCACTCTCCAGATGCCTGTAACAGCAGGAGCCAGATCAGGCCAAAGATGGGAACTGAATCCAGGTCTCCCACATGACTGGCAATGACCCAACTAGTTGAGCCATCATCTGCTACCTGACAGGATGCACATGAACAAGAAGCATGAAGTGGAAGTGAATCCAGAACTCAAGCCCAGGCACTCTGATATGGGATACAGGCCTCCCAAGTAGAATCTTACCCTCTCGGCCAGTTCCTCCTCCTTTAATTCTTTCCAAATAGGATAAATGTTATCCTATCATTATTCCCTAGATAAAGTAGATAGGTTTTCCTCAGTGCTCTTTGCACTCTCATTCTTTTTATTGCTTTTTCTGAAGAGTTCATTTTTGTATGTGTCCCTGTATAATGTAGTGTACAGATTGGTATTTCTCCCATTAGGTTGTAAACCCAGAACCAAGGACCAGGATATTTCCTTGAATGCTTCCTCAGCCTCATGCCTTGAATGTGATTTGAACTTACTTTGTGCAGGGAAGTATGGAGGGTTGTAAATAGGTCCAGCACTGGCCTGTCTTCAAGGCCTTCTCCATGTAGTCAGGGAGATAAGGAGGAGATGTGCATGGCAGGTTGCAATAGCCTCACTCAAGTTGTGTAGAGCTTATTGTGAGGAATGCTCAAGGAGAACTGACTTCTCCTGATGAGATACTCTGGGAAGTTGACACATGGAAGCACTTCTTGCTTGTGCCAAGTATTGTGTTGTTACATACCGTGGTAAAATATGATCCCTGCTTCGAAGAGTTTTACAGTCCAATTGGGCCTTCAGAGCAAAGATGATAAATTACCATCTGTTGGCCAAATCGAGTCCTCTACCTGTTTTTGTATAGCTGAAGAGAGATTTTTGCACTTGTTAAATTTTTTGAAACAATATTTTTGTGACATGTGACAATTATGTGAAATTTTCAGTGCTGGGATTAAATGAACAGGCATATTCATCTGTTCATACACGATCTGTGACTGCGTTTGCACTACAACAGCAGGGCTTAGTCAGAGTCTGAAATACTGTCTGGCCCTTTTTGCTGGCTGCTAGATTAGGGAATGGGGAAGTCTGGCATAAAGTAGAGAAGAGGAGCAATGACATCCATATTGCTAGAGGTTGTTTGTGTTAGTAGAGTGGTGTGGTGAATCTTGCTGAGCATATTAAAACTTTAGGACTAACATGGTAATCTACCACCCCCCCGCTCTTTCATTTTCTGAAATAGGCAAAAGGTCAGAAATCTGGTCAAAGTCCACATGGCTCATAAGTGACAGTGCTCCACAGCAGTGACTGGTACAGACACTGGGGGCTGTTGAGGATGATAAGATTATTGCCGAGGTGGGGCAGATCCTCCATGACCTTGCCCTTGAAAATTGAGTTAAACAACAGACTGTCTTTCTCTCCCTGAATGTAATGTTTCTGTTTTTCTTCTCACCCCTCCCCTCCCCTTGTATTTCTAGAAGGCCTTTGAGCCTTACTTTGAGATTTTGGAAGCATACTCCGTAAAAGCAAAGAATTACGTTAATGGGCATTGCACTAAGTACGAGCCCTGGCAGCTGATTGCATGGAGCGTTCTGTGGACTCTGCTGGTGGTCTGGCTCTATGACTTTATCTTCCAGCCGGAAAGTAAGTATACTGTCCTGTCTCTAAAGGACACCACGGGCCTGGGGACTCACAGCTGAAGGACTGCCCTGATTTCTTGCCTTTTGGTTGGCTCTGGTTTTAAAATGTTTAAATAGAAATAGTACAGCGTCTTCTGATTAATAATAACTCTTTGTGTAACTGTTGCTGCTTCCCTTGATTTTTAAAAAAATATAGCTTAAACGAAGCTATTGGAAGTTAGTCCTTGTAAGTTGCACATGTATACTGGAGTTTGGATTTCTTCAGTGTCGGCTTCTTCCCTAGAAGAAGCATTATAATGGAGTTCCTAGCATTATAATGGAGTTCCTAGAGTAGAAATGGGTTGTTTTGCTTTGAAACATCCTTCAATAAACACTGTAAAAATTGGAACAGCACTCATGTGGCCACTGGCTCTTTTTGAGCCAGGTGTTGCAGTGGGGGTATCTATGCAGGTATTGCAAGGCTCCTGACCTCTTGAACTTTAACTTAAGATGTGATGGGCCAGTGTACCTTGAGTTTTTCTGGTGGTGACTCGGGTTGACATGGAGAAGAAGGAAACCACTTCTCAGGGAGTGCAGATCAGTATCTTAGAGATCACTTGTCAGTACTCCACATTCTGCTTAATACCTTTTCTTACCCACCAGCCTCCTCCCATCTGGAGACTGGTTGCTTGGGACCATGTCATTACTGCCTCCCCCATCCCCACTGGCTGTACTTAACTGAGTTTTGATTGTACTGAAGTAAAAATAGCAGAGGTAGTACACTGTACTCTTTCCCCTTTGCTAGGGTGTATTTGTGGTCACTGTCTTGGGATGTGAGACTATAACACTAAGGAGATCGTAGAATGCTTTCCTTGTCCCAAATGCCCACAGTGCTTTACTACTCTGATAACATCTGTTTGAACAAACTCGTGTTACTTTTATACTTCCGTTCCCCTACAAAATCAGATTTAGAAGCCAGATTCTGTTTTTATCTCTTTACCATGCAGACAGCCATCAAATTGTTCTGGTAACATTTCACTGTTATGGTGCAGTAGACGTTGCACAGCAAGATAACCACAAAGTGCATGCCACTGTTCTCAGAACTGGTCAGTTAATGTGGAAGTGAGATGTGACTGTGCTGTCTGAAAGCCCAGTCCTCAATTTCTGTTCCTAGTCCTTGCAGGAGTTTCTCATGAACTTTGATAATTGAGGTTGCTCGGCACTTCTGCTGCATTTGCTCCATGGGATGGAAATGGACATACCCCATGTGGTTCTGTCCAAGCTTGCTCCTTCCACAGGAAGTAGTCCATTCTATGAGAGAGGAGTCCTGTTCTAGAGGAGTCTAAAGAGTAGCAATAGATGTACTTACTATTCTTTTTTTCTTTTTTTTTAAGGTTATTTGCTTTTATTGGAAAGTCAGATATACAGAGATGAGGAGAGACAGGTCTGTCTGATGATTCACTCCCCAAGTAACTACAATGACCTGAAATGAGCCAATCCAAAGCCAGGAGCTCAGAGCCTGTTCTGGGTTTCCTACGTAGGTGCAGGGTCCCAAGGCTTTGGGCTGTCCTCGACTGCTTTCCCAGACCACAAGCAGGGAACTGGATGGGAAGCGGGGCCGCCGGGATTAGAACTGACATCCATGTGGGATCCTGGTGTGTTCAAGGCGAGGACTTTAGTTGCTAGGCTGTTGCACCAGGCCCATACTTATTTTTCCCTTACTATATGCTTACATAAAATTGATCATTTGAACTATTTTTAAAAATCTTTATTTAGGTATTTGAGGTGCTGTAGGGCAGAGAGAGATAACAAAGAGAAGGAGAGAAGGACAGAGTGCTTGAATACCTCCACACCTGCAGGGGTTAGGACTGGGCTGGAGCCAGGAGCTTAGAACACAATCCAGTTCTCCTACATTGGTGGCAGAAACTCAGTCGCCTGGTACATTAGCACTGCCACTCAGGCTTTGCATTAGCAGGAAGCTGGAGTTAGGAAGCTGAGTAGGAAATAGAACCCAGGCACTTCAACATGGGATATTAGTGACTTAACCGTTAGGCTAACCATCTACCCATGTTGTTTCGAACACATTGCATATATATACACAGATGATGTGCAATGAATAAGTGGAGCTAATTAACATGATGCATTACCTCACATGATTCTAACTTACTGTGTACATGTATTTCTGCTTTCAAGTTTTACAGCTCACTGTACCTGTGTTTTACTTAACTAAGTAAAACCATTGGCCATTTTAGCTATGCTTACTTAGTTGTATTTTGTATTGAAAAGAAATATGCTGGCTTGTGGACATTGTATGGGAGAAATGTTCTTAGCAGTGTGTTAATGGGATATGCCATCTAACTATTTCTGAATAGAACGGATTCCAAGTCATTTAGTGCTTTTGTTTTTCAAGATTTATTTATTTTTATTTGAAAGAGTAGCAAAGATAGATAAAAAGATACACAAATCGTCCATCTACTGGTTCATTCCCCAAATGGCTGCAATGGCTGAAGCTGAACTGGCCCGAAGCCAGGAACCAAGAGTTTCTTTTAGATCTCCCAAGGCCCAAGCACTTGGCCCATCCTCTGTTCCTTTCCCAGGCACATTAGCAGGAAGCTGGATTGGAAGTAGGGCGTGAGGGATTTGAAGCGGCACCTGTATGGGATTCTGTGCTGTAGGTGGAAGCTTACCTGGCTTTGCCACAGTACCGGCTGCATTCACTAGTTTTTAGTATTGAAGATTTCTTCTTATTATGAAGCCAGTGCATATTTGCTGTACAGAATTCAGACAGTATGAATAAGCCATAGGAATAAAAGTAAAATCTTGCCACTACTTTTTCATATCTTTTTCTATGTCTGGATCAGGTTGAACCACATGAAATGTAGATTTGTAGAACAAAAGTTGTTAAAATGAGTGATACAGTTTAACGCACATAGACACACAACACACTTTTTATTTTGTACTTAAAAAGTCAGTTTTAGACAAGTACAAAAATTTCTTGCTTTCAGAGTTTAGGAATAATTTTTCCTTTTTTTTTTCAACATCTTACTCAAGTTGTATTATTCTATGTATTACTGAATTAGCAAATTTGCTTAACGTATTGCATTAGAGGAATTGGAAATATGGATTAGTGTTGCTTTTGAATTCCCTCCTGCCTGGGCCAGTTTAATTTGGGGGCTGGAGAACTAGGAGCCAGGGAGAGTGGGCAAGGCTGTTGTCTCTTCTTGCCACCACTGTGCAAGTGTCAGCACAGAGCTTATGGGTTTCACCTGTGGGATTGTTCAGACCTAGGATTTACATGGTGGCAGGAGGTGCGAAACTCTCTTTTTCTTATTGTGACACCCTGGGCAACACTGAAGACCTCCTAGCCCAGTTTCTCACAAGTAGAAGGGCATTGTGAGTCACAGGGGGTAAAAAAGGCATCCTTTGTGTGACAAGAACTTGTAGAGAGTCATGTACTGTTGTTAGAATGTCATTTTTCCTGTCATCTCATCCTCCTCTCTGTTCATTTTTAAATGGTCAGAATTTGCCTCCCCTGTACAACATGACCTTCTGAAATATGCACATGTTGCTGAGTCAAGCTGATTAATGCATGTGTTACCCCATTTCCTTGTTTTCTTTCTGGTGGAAATACTCTCCTGCTTTCTTAGCTGTTTTCCCATCTAGAAGTCATCATCACTTACTACATCAGCTTCTCAAGCTGCTTCCTGCCACCTAACTGGAATTTTGTGTCCTTTGGCTAAATGTCTCCTTAAGCCTCGCCTCCCTGCCTGGCCTCTGATAACCACTGCTGGAAGATTCTAATTACCTCTGGGAACTTGTGCTTTTGGGACAGTCTTTTCAGTTCATAACCACGTGATCTCTTTGTTTGGCATACCTCCGTCTTTGACTCTGTTTGCCTTGTGCTACGTTCTTCCTCATATGGCACAATATCAGTCTGTTTTTTTGTCCTCTACCTAGCCACATTGCTGGTTTGCTGGTTTTTAAACTTCTTCCCATCTCATTAATTGATCTATTTAACATTGTCAGAAATAGTTTATTGACAAGAAGCTTAACTACCCAAATTTAGACTATGCTTATTTTATGGACTGTGATAAAAGTTTAAAAATGTATTTAGGAAGAATGCGTAACATAGAAAATGCTTTTATGTGAGAATGTAATTATATATAATAAGATCTCATTACATATTATGGCATAGGCAGGAAGGAAATACTTGATTTCCCGACAGTGCTGCTAGGACCTGTATTGGAGGAGAGACTGGAGTGTAGATTCTGAACAGATGTAGATGATCACGTTGGTCATAGAAAAGAGAAATATTAGATTTCTGGGCTCTGTGGTAGAGTCAGGTGCTCTGAAACACATGCCTCTTTGATCTAGCATTTGTTTTTCTGTATATCTTGCAGATAACTTGTGTGTTGCAAGGCTATTTATTTGTATATTTAAACATTTACTTATTTGAAAACCAGAGTTGCAAAGAGAGGAGGGGAGAAACCATAGTTAAAGATCTTCCAAGCCCTGGTTCACTCCCCAGATGACCATAATGGCAAGAGCTGGGCCAGTCTGCAGCCAAGAGCCAGGAGCTTCTTGGGATCTCCCACATGGGTGCATGGGCCCAAGCACTTGGACTGCTCTCTGCTGCATTCCCAGGCACATTGGCAGGGAGTTGGATCAGAAGTGGAGCAGCCAGGATTTGAACTGACACTAACGTGGGATGCCAGTGCTGCAGGTGGCAACTTTATCACAATGTTGGCCCCATAAGGTTATTAATTTTGGCACAATTTGTATAATAAATATTAGAAACAGCCTAAATTCACTAGAAATAGGTGGGTTAAATAGATTATGGTAAACTGTGCAGGAGAGTAGTGCTGTAGCTATAAAAATGAGAAAGCACTCATCTTTAATATTACTAAATTGAAAACCAAGATCTAGGGCCCGGCGCGGTGGCGCAGTGGTTAAGGTCCTCACTTTGCACGCCCAGGATCCCATATGGGCGCCGGTTCTAATCCCGGCAGCCCCACTTCCCTTCCAGCTCCCCTCCTGTGGCCTGGGAAAGCAGTCAAGGACGGCCCAAGGCTTTGGGACCCTGCACCCGCATGCGAGACCCCTGGAAGAGGCTCCTGGCTTCGCATCGGCATAGCATTGGCCATTGCGCTCACTTGGGGAGTGAATCATTGGACGGAAGATCTTCCTCTCTGTCTCTCCTCTCTGTATATCTGCCTTTCCAATGAAAAAATAATAAAAATAAATCTTTAAAAAAAAAAAAAGAAAATCAAGATCTAGTTTAGTGTTAGACTATGCTACCTTTTGGGTGAAAGGGGAGTGTAGAATATGTCTGTTACTGCCTGTATATGCATAAAAGAACTTTGGAAAGCGTGTTGAGGTTGAAGTGGTGCTCATGTCTAGTGTGAATGAGGGGCCTAGGAGATAGAAACAAGAAAAAGAAACTTCATTGTGTGTGCTTGTGCTTACTTTTCTTTTATAATTAAAAACGTAACTTTTTTTCCAAAAACTTTTTTATTCCAAAAACTTTTAGTCTTTTTTTTTTTTTTTTAAGAAACTCTACCTTTGTAATCTGAAAGTAGTTGAGCTTGTCGGAGACACATTGCATTATTCCTACATCATGGCTAGCAGCCCTTGTTCAATTATTAGTTGGATAATAAACCATTTGTTTGTTTCAGGTTTGTGGTCAAGATTTAAAAAGAAATGGTTTAAGCTCACCAGAAAGATGCCAATCATTGGCCGCAAGGTAAGTAAAATCTCTGTGGCTCTTTCCATTTATTAAACCTAGTGTTTTCAAAGGGAGGGGTGATTCTGTCACCCAGCTCCAGTGGGCATTCGACACTGGTTGTGATAATGCAAGTGAAGTGTTCCTGGCATCTGGTGGTTGATGGCCAACATGATTCTAAGCATCCCACAACAGAGAGTTATCTGGGTGATAACTACAAAACGGGACTGGTGCTGTGGCATGTTGGGTTGAACCTCTATCTACTAAGCCAGCATTTCCATGTGGGGGCTGGTTTGAGTCTCCCATCCAGCTTCCTGCTAATGTTGCACTTGGAAAACCAGTGGGAGATGGCCCAGGTGCTTGGGCTCCTGCCACCCATGTGGAGACCTGGATGGAAATAGCTGACTCCTGGCTTTATCCTGGCCCTGCTCCTGCTGGTTTGGCCATTTAGGAAAAACGTCTCTCTTTTCTCTCTTTTTAACTCTGCTTTTCAAATAGATAAATCTTAAAAAAAATAAAAAGAACCAAAATTGAGATTCCCAAACTTAACCCTTTCTGCAGCATATTTGGTCAAAGGACAGACTATTAAGGAAGAAGAATTTGAACTTTAAACATGTGACTGAAGTGTTTTTATGCTTTGGAACAATATTTGGATGGGCTGAATTTAGATATTTATCCAGAAGTTGGATGGTTACATGGTTTTGATCAGGAGTTACCAAACTTTCCATAACATCTGAGACTCTGTGATGTCTGTTCTTACTGTGTTGGTTGGAACTTCTCAACTCTTTCTTTGTAGAGGAAAGCAACAGGAGGCAGATTGGATAAGGAATGAATCTGGCTGAATGTGTTGCAGTGAAACAGTCATATAAAACAGGTAGACCTAATTTGGCCCCTGGTATGATACCTGGTCCCAGGTTTAGAACTGTCAAGAGATAACAGCTGTTCTCTTGCTCTTTGCACTTGTTTGTAGCATAGTTGTTCCTTTCACCTGTCTTCACTCAAACACTGAGGAGATGTCGCCTCTACCCTTCCTGCAATGTCTTTATCACAGTGAAGATAAGCAGGTCAGGGGTCAGAGCTGTAACAAGGCAAATTAACTGCTCTTTTGGCTGTGGCGTTCCCTAGTGGAGCACTGGTTTGAGTCCCAGCTGCTGTGCTTCTAATTCAGGTCCCTGCTAATGTGCCTGGAAAAGCAGCAGAAGCTGGAACTAAGTACCTAGGCCTGGCTCCGCCTTACCCATGGCAGTCATTTGGAGAGTGAATCAGTGATTCCCTTCTTCCTCTGTCATTCTGCCTTTTAAATGACTATAGTAAATCTTTTTTTAGTTTTATTTTTTAGGGCTATAGTAAAGCTTAAAAAAGATGAAGATAGATGAACAGGACAGGCTTCTTGCAAGCGCTGAAGGAGTCAGATGAGGCCTTCCTTGGTGTCTGCTTCCCTAGAGCCCTGCCCCACCCCTCAGCTTTCTTTTGCTCTCTCCCAGCTTTACTTACCTTCAAGTTTTCCCTTCTGGCTTTTGATTTTCTTTCCCTTTTTCTGAGCAAGCCAGAAAAGATGGTTAATGTCCTTAGTCCTTAGCTTGAGTCCATCTGGATCGCTGTGCTTACTCTCCCAGAAGTACATCTTTTTGGCTTCATTTCTTCATGTAGAGGAAGTAACTGGGGTGCTGAGGGAGTGAGAGTGGGCAGGCTTCTGCTTGCTCCCTAAATTACATTAAAACTTAAAATTACTTTAGTTTAATCTTCACAGAGTAAGGGACTCAGGCAAGGAGGCTATGGTAGAAAATGACCAAGTCAGGGACACAGTAGGATTTTCTTTTATTCTTGCATTTCTGTTGTCTTTGTCTTTCTCATGCTTCTCATTCAATTTTCAAATTTTGAGAGACATAAATGCTAGAATTCTAGAACCTGTTCTTAAAGTTAAAAGAACAGAGTTAGATCCATAGAGGCTATCTGATCACCCTTCATTTTTCAGTAGCAGATTCTGAGGTTTAGAGAAGAGAGAGTTATTTGTTTAATGTATGTGGATGCAGGCATCGTGCCATACCCTCCTCTCATTTAGTCACCCAACACTTATTAATTGAGTACCAATTGAGTGTCAGGTACTTTGCCCAGTGCTGAGCTTGATTAAGCCCTCCCTCTCATGGAACTTGTATTTTAATTCCAAGCCCATAAGAATTGCATTCTAGAATAAATGCTATGAAGAAAGTAACTTAATAATGTGGTGGAAGCTCTGAGGTAAGGATTGGGAGCAGCACTTACTGTGTTTTCTCATAGGACAACATGACATTGTGACTTTTTGGTCCTTTATGATAAGAACACTGTCAGTTTTTATAGTTGTTTCTGGTGTGTGGTTGCTTTACATACTGTGTAGTTGTTAATGACAACTTTAAAAATATCTCCTTATGCTCTTAGGCCACAGATTTGCTCAGGAGCATGGTCCTGCCACCTGCCACACTTGGCCTGGGGGCATTAACAAATATGCTGTGCAGGAGTAGCTTTCCCTGTGATTTTGTGGGGCTGAGGGGTGCAAATGTAAGATCCTGTTCTAGTCTTATCAGTTGTGGTGAGAGATGAGAATGATCCCAATTGGAGATTTTAGACATCAAATGATAGCAAATATAAAAGGTACTTCAAAAAAGATTGTGGAAAATCTGAGTTAAAACAAGTATAATTTGGTGGAAAAAAACTTTGCAGTCCATTTTGGTATAATGGACATTTTCCACGAGCTGTGGAAGACGCCCTTGTATTGCTGTAACTAGCACCCAGACATGCCTGAGTTACGACACGTGTCCTTTCACCCCAGACATACAGCCCAAGATTCTCTTAGCAGGAATAAGAGCCCCTGCCACTCTACCTCCCTACTTTGATCTGTTTTTTTTTTTTCTCCTCCAATACTGTTCATTATATGAATTGTGCTTTCTATCACTCCTAAAAATAAACTTCATGAGAACAGAAGTTTCTTTTCACCATGTTGTTTTATTCACTGTGTATCCCTACATTAAGGAAATTGTTTAGCACATATTTGATGGGTAAGTTGAGTGAGTGAATCAGACACAGTGACTCAGAAGCTGAGGCTGTGAGCATGGAGAAGGAACCATAAATGACATGGGAGAAAGGACCTGAATTTCTTGTAACCTTGCAGGGTCAGTCAGTGCAAACTTTTACGGTACCTTAAGGAGCAAGAACACAGACTTCCTCCCGGCAGTTCTTAGTGCCTTGTGCTTGTGTGCAGGGAGTTCTGTGGGCCTTCCAAATTCCTGACGAGTTCTGTGCCTGCATGGAAGGAGTTCTTCACTTACACAAGGACCAGGATCCCGTTTACTACAGCTTGATTACTTTTTCTGGCTACCATTCATGACTGTACCTTCTTTTGTTATCTCGCATACACACTGTGGCTGCTGCCAAGGCAGGAACAAGGTCCAAATGCTGCCCTCAGAGAAGTGCTGAGCTTGGCACCTGCCAGCCACATCTAGCAGTGGTGATATCAGCAGGGTATGGGGGAAAATGAGTACAATTTTGATGTTTAGGGAGAAGGTTAGCTCTCCAGGACAACTTTGATATTTAGGGAGAAGGCTAGCTTTTCAGGCTTCTAACTGGGTTTTGCACATGTCAGAAGATAGCTGAATGATCGAAATAATCATTGTAATTTTTTAAAATATTTGTGTGTTCTCATATTATTTGAAAGAGGCAGACGAAGGTCTTCCATCTGCTCATTTACTGTGCCATAACCCACAACAACCAGGGCTGAATCAGTCCAAAGCCAGAAACTCAGAACTTCATCCAAGTTTCTCCTGTAGGGAGGCAAGGACCCAAGTACATGAGCCATCATTTTCTTCCCAGGGTGCACATTAGCCATAAACCAGATAGGAAGCACAGTAGCCAGGATTGGGATTCTAGCCAGGCACTCTGCTGTGAGATGCCATTGTCCTAAGCTGTGACTTAATTTCTGTGCCAAGCATCTGCTCTACACCTCGTCTTTTTAAGAGCAAACTACTTTCCTTGCTCCATTGAATGGACGTCATAACTGGTGTTTTCCACTGCTCTTTTTGCTAATTGTGTCTTTCTTAATGAAGATTGAAGACAAGTTGAACAAGACCAAGGATGATATTAGCAAGCACTTGTCCTTCCTGAAAGTGAACAAAGAGTACGTGAAAGCTCTGCCCTCCCAGGGGCTGAGCCCATCTGCAGTTCTGGAGAAACTCAAGGAGTACAGCTCAATGGGTAGGTGCTCAGCCTGTGAATTGTCCGCTCCTTGAAAGTGGCTGGTTTGCTGCTCATTTAATGTGGGAATGTTACTCACTGGTTCTTGCAGCATGTGGTAAAGAAGGCCCACTCTGTTTCTGAAGCTAAATTTCATATTTTTAAAAATGGAATTTAGATTTATCTTTGACCTATAAAGTAAGCAGGTAACAGACAGTGGAACTTGCTTCCATTTTCTCGTATAAATATGAGTAAAACATGTGTTTGTGTTTTTAAAAATGGAGTGTGAAATACAAAATCATGTAAAAATTAGGAAATCAGTATAAAGGTGCCAAAAGAAAAGTCACTGCATTTCCATCACCAAAAGATCAGCACAGGTCATACCTCTGTTGCTGTCTACATGCACAGGTACAGAAAAGGATCTATCTGTATGTGTTATCTCAGTGTTAGGCTGCTAGATGTGAGTGTGGGCATACATAAGTGTGATTATGATGGGAGAGATCAACAGAACAGATAGCTTAACATTTGCGAGTATAACCTGTGGAAGTATCCTGGATTCATGTCCTGGTTTTGTCACTTACAATATGACCTAAGAGGAGTTAGTAATATTCTGTATGCCCCAGTTTCTGTGTCTGTATAATCTCTACTTACCTGAAAGGATGATTGAGATTAAATGAGACTGTGTGTGTGTAAGTGTTGGATATATACTTGGCTTATTATAAGCATTTGATAAATGTTAACTACTATTGCTATTATGTACACGAACACATACATATTTATTACAGATTAAATTTATATTATACATTTTAGAAGTAAGCTTTTTAGTTTGGTATAATTTTAGATTTATGGAAAGATGCAGAGATTTTTCACATATTATTCATCTAGCTCTGCCTGACAGTAACATCCTGCATAAAGATGGTACATTTATCCAAATTGATGAATTAACAATTGGTTCACTAATATTAACTAAAGTATAAGTTCTATTTCCATTTCATTTATCTACTCATGTCATTTTTACTATTCCAGGATCAAATTCCTTTTACATTTTCTAATCGGTATGTGGTTTTGTTTTTTTTTTGTTTTGTTTTTGCCATTAGATGGTATAAAAGTACATACAGTTCAGGAAATAGAGTATATAAAGCAGGAATTAATACTCTGAGACCCATTTATTAACTGTTTCCATGGTTTTGACAACTGCTGGTTGTTCTCATCAGATTTCCTTCCCTTCAGCTTTTTAAGTCTGTGTCCACTGCCATACCCCCTGGTACCAGTAAAAGAAAGGAAAATGAAGCTTTGTGTATCATTTTTGAAAGACTGGTGACCACTCACTGGTCTGCAGACAAACATGATGCGGAAGCAGCAGCATCTAAGGAAAGAGTGAAAGTCCCACTGGCAGCGAGCCAGAAGCTCTGCTCTCCTTAGAGCTGAAGAGGGTTCTGTTGCAGAGCCTAGGGCTATATGTGCTTTCTGCTGAGCGTGCTTCTTGGAATTGCCTTCACACTCCCTACTGCAAAAGGGCACAGCCCTGCTGTAGCAGAAGAACCTGAGACACTCACACCAGTAGGTTGGGTTAATGTAAAATCTCTGTGGGTGCACCTCACACAATAAGTGAAAAACCTGGTTGTTTATTCTGGTCAGAGACTTGGCTGCTCCTGATTTTGAAGGGCACAGCATCGGCTGCTGGAAGCAAGCTGTTGGTTTGTGTGGGCCCCTGAACCTGGGATGCTCAGGGTTTATCCCATATGGCACTTTGTTCTCTGGCTCCAACCTTGCCATCACCCTTTTGTTGTGCTCTCTGCCTGCTGCTGCTTGTAACAGCTCCCACACTTGTAGTGCCTGGGGAGGACTAGAGAGAAAAAGGAAGCTATTGCAGAAGCTAAGCTGAAGCTCTGCAGAGACCAGGAAATCTATGCATACAAACGGCAGTTCTGCTGTTAGAAGGCAGTGGAGGATAAGGATGTTGCTGTCTTAATGGCCCTCTGTGTTGTTAGTGCCTTTCACACTGTTGATGATACTAACTGATGGTCTCTTATCTAGCTGTAGATGCTGTTAACACCTTTCTCATATTGTTGGCTGATACTGATGGATGATCTCTCATCCTTACTGTGGTAGCTGTTCATTATTGAAGTTCCTCCTTTCTGGATTTACTGTAAGAATGCCACTGGGTTTCAGTTCTTCTGTGTTTTTTCTTTTGTACCCTGCCAGGTGTCTTCCTGTTGCTACTTTATTAGCACCTCCCTGCCTGCTCATGCAGTGCTCTCTCTCATTTCTCTGCAGATGTCTCCTGGCAAGAGGGGAAAGCCTCTGGAGCGGTGTACAATGGCGAGGAGAAGCTCACCGAGCTGCTCGTCAAGGTGAGTGGTTGTGGATGGAGGGCAGTGCCACGTGGGCTCTGTGTTGGTTGGTATGGCCTTGGCTTTTATCCATTCTTCTGCAGTTTGAAAAGTGAAATACGGGAAGCTTATTGACAGAACAAAAGCATAAAATCAGAGAAGATTTCTCTTCGCTCACACATAGGCGAGTGTGTATAATACTGTTGAAGACATCTTCAGTGTGTCTGGAAGTAAAGTTGTCATATTTCCAAGCTTCCTGGGCACCCAGTATAGAGACAGATCACCAGGGAAGGCAGTCTCATCCTTCAGGGTTTTTAATGGTAGGATGGATTTTGTTTGGTAAGAGACAAGATGGGAACACGCAGTAATACTTACCTCAAATGAGTTTTGAATGCATTCTGTGATTTAGATATTGCCCAAACCCCGATTAGTTAGATATCAGTTACTCCTTTTTGTGGATAAGGAAACCTCAGAGAATGATTTGACCTACACAGCTAAAAATCTTAAGCAAAAGTGTGACTTCGAACTGGGTCTGTTTAGTGTACAATCTGCACATTTCACTATACTTGTACCTCTTCCCTTGCTGCATTATAAAATTATTGATTTTATTGTATCTTCTCAGTGTATTGATCTTTTTTGATTGGGGGACATCTGACATTTTTTCTAGTCCCTAGTGTCTTGACTGATACCTGAGAACTTTGATTTAATGCATGATTCTTTGGTGCATTTCATGTCTGCTTTTATTTCTTTGCAGGCTTATGGAGACTTTGCATGGAGTAATTCACTACATCCAGATATCTTTCCAGGATTGCGCAAGATAGAGGCTGAAATTGTGAGAATGGCCTGTTCCCTGTTCAATGGAGGACCAGATTCCTGTGGATGTGTAAGTACGTGCAGGTGGCATGAAGTAACATTTCTCAGTTTAAAATAGGTATTTATTTAAAATATTTAAATACACCAATAGTATATGATTATTGTAGGAAGAACAGATTAACTGCAGTGTTAAAATATTACTTATAATTTTATAATCCGTAAGAGTGTCAACATTTTGGTATGGACTTTTGTATATATTTTATCTCTTTACCTTTTATTTTTTTAAAAAAATCAGCCTACATAAAAGTGTTATGATAGATTAAAGAAGCCCTGCGATTATCAGATGTGAATATTATACCATGCCTGCTCTCGGCTTACTTTTTTTTAATTTATTTATCTTTATTGGAAAGGCAGATTTACAGAGAAAAAGATTTCCATCTGCTAATTTACTCCTCAAATGGCTACAGCAACCAGAGCCAATCTGAGCTTCTTCCAGGTCTCCCAAGTGAATGCAGGGTCCCAATGTTTTGAGCCATCCTATGCTGCTTTCACAGGTCATAAGAAGAGGGGTGGATGGGAAGTGAAACAGCTAGGGCAGTATTCGGCCCCCACATGGGATCCTGTTGCTTCCAAGGCTAGGATTTAGCCACTAAGCCAACGTACCAGGGCCTTCTCTACTGGCTTTCTTCCCTGTTTATTTCCTTCCCTACCTGCCCACACACTTGCCTACCAGCCACTTACCTGTATATGGGGTTTTGAACTATCTGATAGTCTTCTTGTTAAACTCTATTTTACTGAAGCTGAAACTATATTATTTTGCTGATTAAATTTAGTTGACATCAGGAATAACAAAGGGGGCATTTAACAACACATTGGAGGGTTTCTTGTTTCTCCTGTACTTTGTAGTACATGATTATTTGTTTCCTAAACTATGGTAGATAAACTTTGGTTTTAGTTTGTCACTACCAACTAACATTGACTTTTCTAGCTTATGTAGAATAGCTACATTTAATTCAGTATATTGGGATTGTGGTCTGTATGGTGTTAATCTTTTCAAATAAATTTATAATCATATAATGTTTCCACCTTTAATCATTATGGAACTCATCTGAGGAACCTTACATAGTTACTTTTTTGTAAGCTCTTTGTGTGTGTGTGTGTGTGTGAATGTATGTATGTGTATTTATAGTTTATTTATTTGAAAGGTAAAGTTAGATGGAGAGAAGGAGAGAACTTCATCTGTTGATTCACTCCTGAATTTCCGCAATGGCCAGATTTGGTTTAGGCCAAAGCTGGGAGTCAGGAACTTCATCTGGGTCTCCCACATGAATACAGTGACATGCCTGTGGGCCATCTTCTGCTGCTTTTCCCAGGTGCATTAGCTGGGAGCTAGATCAAAAATGGAGCAGCAGGGTCTGAAAGTGGTACCCATATGGTTTGCTGGTGACACAAGCCACAGCTCCAGACCCCTACCTGGCATCTTAATTGCCAAGTACCATCCCCTTAGAAACTTACTTAGGTTTTTTTTTTTTAAAATGATTTATTTATCTTTATTGGAAAACAGATTTGCAGAGAGAAAGATCATCCATCTGCTAGTTCACTCCCCAAATGACTACAACAGCCGGAGCCAATCTGAAACCAGGAGCCAGAAGCTTCTTCCAGGTTTCTCATGTGGATGCAGGGTCCCAATGCTTTGGGCCATCCTCCACTGCTTTCCCAGACCACAAGCAGGAAGCTGGATAGGAAGTAGAGCAGCTGGGACACGGACTGGTGCCCATATGGGATCCAGGTGCTGAGCAAAGGGAGGATTAGCCAATTGAGCTATTGCTCTGGGCCCAAAAGCTTTTTTTAAAAAATGATTTTAGAAAATGTTTTAGTTTCCTTAAGATACATAACCTATATTGCTGGAAATAGAAGTTTTGTCATTGTTTTTTCCCCACATAACATCTATGTATATTTGAAAACACCTTCCCCCTCAATCTTTAGTCTCTCTAGCTTTTCTTGTTACTCAGCTGTTCATGAGAGTTGACAGATTTCCAGTCACACCCATCTTGTGACTGAAGGCCTTTGAGTTGTCTGTGCATTGCCATGTGAACTGAGCTCTCCCAGTGGAAAATGGCATTGATCTGTGAACTTTTTTTTTTAATCTGAGCTTACCAAATGCATCTTAAACTTTGTCTAAGTCAGCATTGCTCTCTTTAACAGTATTTCTTCTGTTTCTTGTTGTTCCTAGGGCCTTTATTAGTTTTGTACTGGTACATATACTACTTTGTTGTTTTATGTCTAAATTCTCATTCTGTTAACTCAGGTTCTTATAATGTTGCCCTAGAGTGGGAAACACTTCTGAAGGGTTGCTTTGTTCCGTAGCTTGTTGCCTTCTGTGTTGGGCTTTAATTTTGTTTGTTAGCTACCACTCCTGCCCCTGCAGTTGGTTTGCATCCTTGCCATTTTCCTGCTGCTTAACTCCTCCTAGGGTTGTCCACTCCTGTTTATTTTGTTTGTTCTGGTTCAGGGCAGGACTCAGCTGAAGTGTTGTTCCATCTGCATTAGGATTCCTGGGCCTATTGTGAGAGCCTGGGAGAACTTAGAAAGATTAGAGCTTACTGCCCAGTTTGTAGGACCAGTACCCTGGACTGTTGATTCTTTAATCCATGCTGTATCTCTGAAGTCATTCCAGAAGTTCTCACTCCCCCATTTTCCTTGCTTGTCCTTTGTAGGCTTCTCTAACACTCGCTGAACACAGAGGGAGGAAATTGAGGGAGCTGGTCCCTGGCTCCCCTGAGGGTTTGCAAGTATTAATGAGAATCCTCAGGAATTTGCTGACTGCAGTACCATGTCTAGGGTGGTAGGGTGGTATGCCCTCTGCTGCACCTTTACTTGCCATTGTGAATTAGTTTCTGTGGGTTTGGGTGTTTTTTGTTTTGTTTTGTTTTGTTTTTGGCTTGCTTGCTTGCCCATATTTGAGATTTATTGCATCAGACTATTCATTTCCTTATTTGGTTGTCATGATGGCAGGTTTTGTCTTTTTCCCCCACATTATTTCAGATGCTGAGAGACAGATCTGTGGAGCAGTTTGAATTTGCCATCTTGATCCAGAAGCACAGCCTTGCAGGGATTGCATAGCTGCAGTTGAACCCTTATCTCCCCTATTTCAGCCTCCAGTGGATGTGTCAGGGATTGGAGGAGTCCAAGTCCCAGTGCCTTAAAATGAAGGGCACGTTGACTGATGTCACTGACTCCATCCCTCCCTCTCACTTGAGTATGCTTGCCTGCCCCCATCGCCATCACCCCAATCCTTGCGATCTGTTCCAAAGTAGAAAGCCAGAAGACAAGGCCAACCAGCTGGGCAGTCTTTACACGGTCCCCAAGGGAGCATCTTAAGCTCATCTTGGTCATGGGTCTTCAGCCTTAATTTGCTTCAGTGGTCATGATGACTTCATAGGCTAAAACACATCATGTTGCCATAGAAACACTCTTGGCAGGTGCCACCAGGTCTAAGCAGCCTTTGAAAGCAAGTTTTCCAAGTAGGTCATGTGCTGCTTTGGTTTTCTGAACAACATACTTTGGGGGTTTTGTATACCCTGAAGGAAGTTGAACATAACAAATAGCTACCGGGGCCTCTGTTTTCTTACCTAAGTTTCTGGATTTGTTTTTGCTTTTTGCATATGCAGTGTGGGTAGGTGGGGTGGTGGAGAGAAATGGGGGGATCAGATGTTGTCAAACACAGAATTTGAGGATTAGAAATAAAAATTATAAGCAAAGTTTAGTTTTTTTCCTTTATGGTCGAAAATATGCCTGAATTTGCCCATTGATTTAGTTTGCTTTGAATAGATAGGATATTCTAAGTGGGTGACCAGGAATTTAGGGGGAATTTTGCTTAGATTATGGCTGGCCCTTCCAAAGAGGTGGTGTAGTTAGAGACTTAGCTGGGGGCTTTCTCCACAGCTGGCTTGTTCCTCTTGTGATGTTCTGTGGTTTTATGCTAAGCCATAGGACACACTGCTGATTTGAGAGCTGACCTCAGCTGTCAGCATTTATCTTTCCCAGGGTAGAGAAGCAGAGTCTGGTAAATGTGTCCCATGCCCTCAAGCTCAGTACATTGTTAGATGGATAATGGCCACATATTTCATGAAGACCTCCTGAAACCAGAAATGACTTATCTTTTCTGAGCAGATAATCCATGTAAGTCCTGATCATCGTGATTTTGTGTTCATGGTAAATATTATTTTAGGGAGGCCCAGGAATCGTCCTTTCTGGTTCTCTGTCTCATGCAGCTTCCTTAATGCCCAAGCACAAGAAGTCTTATTTACCACTTAGTGAATCACTTTCATCCCTCAGGGACTCAGTTTTCTTGGCCCTCCAGGAGCTCATGAGAGTTCACAGATACAGTAAGCAGCTGTGAAGGGATAGGTCTCGTTTTTGCAAGCAGTTGTTCCTGGACATTATCAGAAGGAGAGTGGCTGTTATGTGTTGGTCATGGTTTTCTGACAGTCATGTCTGGCATCAGTAGCTCTTGACTGAGGGTAGATCTGTTTGGTGTTAGCTGCCAGACCAGGTACTGGAGTATCATGAGCAGGTACATTTCTACCTTCCTGAGTTTGTAGTGCAATGGGGATAATAGGACAAATGAAGAGACCTTTGGATGTTTTGTTTGAACTTGTCTGTCAGAGCAGCTTGGCCCAGTTTCAGGAAATTGTTTTACTTTATTTAAAAACGTTAGGATTTTGTTTTGATTTCATATAATCAAGGCAGCACACTTCTAAGTAGAAATTTCTGCTGTTCTGGTGTTCGTGTTTGTCAAAACCGCAAGTTTACTTTGGAAAGTCTGAATGTCATTTTGATTTTGTAATGATTGCATAATTTACTAAAATTGTAACTTCACCATGTCTCATGATTCTTCAACAGGCACTGAAATTCGGTTTAACATAAGTAATTCAGATGCTTTGAAGTAGAGTGTTAGCCTGTCCTGTCTGATAATGGATGAATTAACAAGGAAAATATAAATAGATCATGCATAAGTGGGAGCTGGGTGGGTTTGCATGTGTCCAGACAATATAGAACTGCTGTTTTTTCGTAGCAGTTTTCATTCTTCTCCTGAGCCAGGGCTGAGCTCAGCCAACAAAGCCTGATTTCCTTCCTAGAAGATACAACAATGTCTGCCTTTCAGCATGCATTCAGATCTTTGTTTCTGCCCACACTGCCAACCTCAGGGCAGGAAGCACATGCTTGCGTCAATCCCTAACTTCCCCCTACACAAATGGCATCTCTTCTTTGTTATAGGTAACCTCAGGGGGCACAGAAAGCATACTGATGGCCTGCAAAGCTTATCGGGACCTGGCTAGAGAGAAGGGGATCAAAACTCCAGAGATGTACGTATATGTAGCTCTTCTCCCCCGCTTTGGGTTTGTCTCTTTGGAGCCCTGCTGCTTAGAACCAACCCTCTCTCCCCATTTCTACTCCTCTGGCACGTCTAGCTCTCTACTCCTATCCTGGCCCCTTTACCCTTGTCCTGTCCCTATGGGCACAATTCTAGGCAGATAAATTGGTCAGTTACTCCTTATAATTGTTTCCAACTGTGCTAAGTTTATCCCTGGTGTATATACTCCAAGTAGGAGTGATGTTTTTCTAGAAGCAATGCAATTAGACTACCCTTTGAATCCTGTGAAGTTTCCTATCAGTTATCTGGAGCCTGAGACAAGCTCTCTACCTGTCTCAGTTCAATGAGCAGGAATCTCACAGTACAGCCTTGGAAGGTCCAGTCTGCTTGCTGGGGTGACCACTTTACCATCTTAGTGAGATTTATCCACTCTGTCACTCACGGACATATTTTGGTGTTTGGACATACTTTCTTCTCTAGACCCTCTCTTGTGCAGTGTGTTTACACTGCGTGATTGGGTTAGTGCTTTTCTCACAAGGGCGGTGACTAAAGGGTTTTGTTGCCCAGTCTCATGCTAGATGATTCATACTTGGCTGAAGAGAACTCAGTTTGCCAGTCTTTCTTCATCTTGGATCTTGGTGCCTGCTGCCTACTCAGCTGTGGTGGAGATGTTTTCCCTAAAGGGCACAGATCCATTGCAGAAATGGAGTCACTTGAGAGAGATCTAATAGCACATGATTAGCCATGACTGTTCCCTTTTCAATGCTGTTTGAAACATGACTTCCAAATGATGTAGGGGAAATGAGTATTTGAGAGTCTGGAGTTCTGTATTCTCTCACAGTGGGGCCGGGGGGGGTTACTGCTGGTGTGATGTTTGGTGGCCCAGCAGCCTTGCGTCTCTGCCCTGGTGTGCCTTGAGTCAGGACACTGCCTCTCTCATGACCAACCCTCGTGACCCTTTCCCCAATACTGTTCTCATCCGAGTGCTCCGTCCCTTAGCTTTCTCCTCTTAGCCCTGATTTGTGCTTCAGATCTCGTCTTGAAATGGAAATACTTCCTTTAAAAAGGAGATTTATGTATTTATTTATTTGAAATGCAGAGTGACAGAAATTTTCTATCTGCTGATTCACCCCCCCGCCCAAATGGCAAAAATAGATTTGGGACAGGTGGAGACCAGGGGCCAAGAACTCCATCCTGGCCTTCCATATAGGTGGCAGGGGGCCAAGTAGTTAGTTCATTTTATGCTGCTTTCCAATGCGTATTAGCAGGGAACTGGAGGGAACCGGAACCAGCACTCTGATACGGGATGCGAGTATAACCCCCTGTGCCACAATGTGAGCTGCTAAAAATACTTCTGAGTTCCCTTTCTTATTGTCAAAAATGATTTTTTTAACTGGTAGGGAAAAGGTTTCTACAGAAAATCAGTAGATAAAACTTGTAATAGTTTGGGGGCAACAGGTCACATGTTCATTCCTGGCAGTTTAATTTAGCTGTTTGCCTTGTCCATTTTGAATCCTTTTTGGGTCTGAATTTCCTTTTTCTCCTCCTCCACTCTGACCCCATTATCTAGTGTGGCTCCCGTAAGTGCTCATGCTGCATTTGACAAAGCAGCCAATTATTTTGGCATGAAGATTGTGCGGGTCCCACTGGACAAGATGATGGAGGTGGACGTGCGGGTGAGTCTCCCAGCAGCTAGCAGGCAGGCAAGGCCTTTCTGATTGGGTTGGGGCTACCTGAACATCAACAGCTGCTCCCAGTAGTGTTGACCCACCACAGCTTCAGACTTGTCACAAATGCATGGATCCTGAAGGGAGTGACCTTGTCCCTGACTCAGCACTAGAATAGCCTGGTTTTTGCTTTGTATTAGCACTTTCCTTTCTTTTCTCTTTCTGAAATGGACTTGGACCGACTTGCCCAAGACTCTCATTAGGGTTTTGATTGCTCTGAATTAGTCCCATGCCAGTATAATAGACATTATTTTTGTGCCACACATTTGTATGGAAGAACTGTCTAATTTTATCAGGAGCACACAGAAGTCCTGGAGGTCACGGAAGCCATGTTACTGCCCTTCCCAGATGAGCAGCCAGACTGGCTTTTAGTTCATGCAGGGTTTCTGCTGGTCGGTTGTGGGGCTGTGACTCCCATTTGAATCTCTGCTGCTTCTTAGCTTGGTATTGATCTCAGTTCCCCCTAGATGTAGCTACCTGGACTTGTTCATGTCCCACCCCTGTGGAGGGAGACAGCCTTCTCCCGGGTTGGTAGGGGCAGGATGGGTATGCTAAGCTCTGCTGTCCAGATAGCTCTTGGCAGCCCAACTGGGGGGAAGGAGTATGATACAGTCCTCAGTGTTGCACCTTAAACCCATAGGCAATGAGAAGAGCCATTTCCAAGAACACAGCCATGCTCGTCTGTTCTGCTCCACAGTTTGGTCACGGCACGATTGATCCCATCCCCGAAGTGGCCAAGGTATGTCAGAGAAGTGGACTATGCTCATAGCCATATTGAGCTTCTCAGACTAATGGTGTTGTGCTGAGTGAATTGAAGTAGTTTCACTTTAGATGCAGCTGCACTCATGAAAACAGCTCCCATCAGCCCTGAGATGAGCCCTGCAGCTCTGGAGCCACTGCCCAACTGGCCTTCTCGACAGGGGAAGGGTGGTACAAGCCAAGGCCTCTCTTAGGCTGCATGTTCTGAAGTAGTATTGACTTGTTGATGCATGTAAAGAAGTAAACTGCATTTAGCAGCACGCCCCCAAGAGGGTGGTATTGCACGTGGGGCAGGTCCCAAGCATCTTCTCTGCCCCCTCCCACTCTGTTGTGACTAAAGCAGGGCCTTTTCCTCTCTCCATGGGCAGTCTTGGTCAGAGCTATATTCATTTCCTACTCAATTTTACAGTGAGTTTGTGGTCATGCGTATCAATAGATAGCACGTAGCAGAATTATTGCAGACTAAATACATTTCAAGGATAAACTTTGCTGGCAGTGTTAAAAATAGCCAGGTGTTTAAACATGGAAACCTGGCACAAAGCAGCCTGATGTTGATACCTTCCCAACCACCTGTGTCCTGCAGAATTCTTGTGGTTGTGATTACAGATGAGCGACTTTTATGTCCTTTGTTTTTGGAACTAGCTGGCTGTCAAATACAAAATCCCTCTGCATGTGGATGCGTGTCTCGGGGGCTTCCTCATTGTCTTCATGGAGAAAGCAGGGTATCCATTGGATCGGCCGTTTGACTTCCGGGTGGAAGGTGTGACCAGCATTTCAGCCGATACCCATAAGGTAAGCCAGGGAGGTGGTCGGATGTGAGCAACTAGTTATTTTACTGTTAGCAACAGAATAAAGTGGCTTAGGTATGGTGTCCCCCGAAAGTATAAAATGGCATCTGGGGGTTGCTCTCACCAGGTCAGCTAGTCCAAGTGACAGGGTATGTGATAGAGGTGACCAGCAATAGTGGAAAGGGTCCAGTAACGTTCGTCTCACACTGGTCAAGATACTTTCTATGTATACTGATCGTGTATAACCTAGACATGCTGACGTAGTGGCCCTTGTAAGAAGTGGTTCCATGGAGTCCTGCTTCAGAAGTTGAGGAATGCAGGTAATCCTGGACCTTCAGGGGAGTGGATGTTAGTGCCATGGCTCCTGAGCTGAGTGGTCAGGGGCACCCTGTGGACAGAAGGAAGAACCTGTGTACTCAGGAGTGTCTTGTAGAGGCCGTGGGAAGCAGCCAGGTCTACCGGCCTTGGTACAGCACAGGGAGGTCTGAACACACATCCAGGTGTGGTGAAAGTATTACGTCTGCCTGGCTTAGTGCTGCATTTCTAGAGCATGTTTTAAATTAGAATATATAGTAAAGACTTGCTTTTAAAGCTATGCATGACCTGTGGCAGATTTTTTAGTCAGAATCTGTTTTCACCTTGGCCTCGGACAGCTGCTTTGCTCTTTTTTCATTAACCATCCATTTTGTGTGGTTTGAGGGCTGACGTGACTTCTCTGTTAGCTTCCGAAGAGTAACCTAGCAGGGCACTTTGCTGTTTAGAAACTGATTACACACATTTTCTCAAAGCTTTTAGATTCTGTGCACCATCATGTTCTTAAAAAGAAGTACAGCATCAAGCAAAAAATCACAGGGAGATGGTCATTTTTAACTGTTCCTAGTGCCTTCAATTCAATCTTTCCTGGGTTTTCAGTAGAAATTTATCCTTGTTTGCATTTGGACATATTGCTCTAGAAAAACAGGTTAAAGAAGGAAACCACATGTTGGATGTGAAAGGGACTAAGTAGCCCATTAACAGGGCTGTTCTCAGGCCTCAGCTGCCTGATCCCTGACAGGGAATTTAAATTTCATCTCTGAAGTTTCTCATCCCTTTTAGCGTTCTGAGTTTGTGCCCCTCACGGGTGGAAGCATTGCAGAGCAGCTGCTAGCTACATGGGCATTGCTCTGGAAGAGCTCTGCCAGTCAGAACTCCACCTTCACCTCTCTGCTTCTTTCCCTCAGTATGGCTACGCCCCAAAAGGCTCCTCCGTGGTGCTGTACAGTGAGAAGAAGTACAGGAATTACCAGTTCTTCGTTAGCACGGATTGGCAGGGTGGCATCTATGCTTCTCCAAGCATCGCAGGCTCCCGGCCTGGGGGCATCAGTGCAGCCTGTTGGGCTGCCTTGATGTACTTCGGTGAGAGTGGCTACGTTGAGTCTACCAAACAGATCATCAAAACGGCTCGGTTCCTCAAGTCAGAGTATGTGTGCACCATTTCAATTCTGCCTTTTCAGCCAGTGGGCTCAGGACGTCTGCCTGGCCACATTTCTGTGGCCCTGGGCCATTTTGCCATTGCCTGAAAGATGCAGGATTTAGGACAGCAGTTTAGGAGCAATCTTGGGAGGATCTGAAGAGGCAGGACCATATGTGGTGGTCATCCTGTTTCTGAGGCCACCTTTTAACAACACATAGCCCTTCCTGGTGCTGCTGTACAATCCAGTGGTTTACACAGTGGCTCTGAAACTAGAGTGAGCACTCCCATCACCTGGATGACCAGAATTTCTGATGCAGTAAATCTGGGAGGGGGCTCTGAGGATTTCCGTTTTTAGTAAGAGCCCAGGAGACAATGATGAAACTGGTCCAGGAATCGCTACCTGGAGAAGCACTGGGACAGGGACAAAATTGGAAATGAGAAGGGAATGAGGCAGGGGAGAGAAAGGTGATGAAATCTAGATGGGGTAGGTGGAGAGGCAAGGCTGGAAGTGGCTGCCTGGTTCATCTAATGTGCCTCTTGGTAACATTACCTGCCAGACACTTTACAGAACATAGGCCTGTGTGCGTGGAAAAGACCTTCTTCAGTTCCACCAGGGCCTTGAGTTGTGAGCCACTGTATAGTTTCTGGCTTTGGGGAGTATTTAGATGATTGATTTTCTTTTATTTATTTATTTATTTGCTTATTTATTTTTATTTATTTATTTTACTGTTACAGAAGATGGGAAATTATTTTTCCAGGATTTTTCATTATTGTTCAATCCCTAAGCCATCCCTGGGGACATGTCCTTTTGGAGTTGAGTTAGAGAAATTAGAAACCACTGATTTGGATTTGTTTGGTCTAGTTAGGGGAGGGCCTTGGGATATTTGCAGTATCTTGGGATTCTGGTCTCTGTGCTATCCACTGGTAGTAGTGTAACCTTGTTATTTCAGACAGTGAGAAGAACAAAGCCCCTGAAGGCTGGATTGTACTGTGAGGGAGACCTGAGACTTGGTTAAAGTGACAATAATCAGAGGACAGTCTGTGGCTGAATTTTGTTTTTGTTCCTTTTCTTTGTTTAAGACTGGAAAATATCAAAGGCATCTTTGTTTTTGGGAATCCTCAGTTGTCAGTCATCGCTCTGGGTTCCCGTGAATTTGACATCTTCCGACTTTCTAACCTGATGACTGCTAAGGGCTGGAATTTGAACCAGTTGCAGTTCCCGCCCAGGTAAGTTGGAGAAGCCGCTTTCCCTTCCTAGACTCCAAGACTTGGAAGAACTCTAGTGGTCTGTCAGTAGCCTGAGGTACAGTTTGGCTGCCTCAGCTCAGCACTTCAGGAGAAGCTGTAATGTTGGTAGGATTTCCATTTTGCTGCTTCATATCTGAGATGGAAAGAATACCACGGTTAGTTTTCATCTCTGGCAGAATCAGGTGATCAACCCTGAGGCATTTCTCTCACTCAGCACTCAGCTTGTTCTTACACGAAGCTCATCACCTGGGTCACAGTATGCTGGGGTCACTGATGGTTTAATTCTGCTGTTGTCTATGGGGTGCTTCTCTGACACCCAGTCTTCTGTTACACGTATGCGTTTCTCACTGCAGCTGAATGATTGGGTTGGGGTCTCTGTGTGCGGCTCACTCTCACATGTGTTTGTGCCATCGCTGTTCCCATCTGGACTCTTCGCAATTCTTGTGTGTGCCAAGTCCTTACTCCAGGGCGACTTCTTTGCTTGCCATCCTTCAAAACTTCAGCCATGTAGTCCTTTCCTTATGGGATTATAGCCTCTTAGTGTCCTGTGGTGGTTGTGTGTTTTAAAGAGCAGTAATTGACACTTTGCAAGAGGGAGAGGTGGGACAGAACAACTAGCTGTGGTTGTTGATCTTGCTGCGAGGCCCTGGACCCACCCCAGGACTTCAGCATCCTGGGTGTCCAGTGCTTGGAGCACTTGCAGGCCAGTGAACCTGTCATAAATAATGTAGTGCCAGTAATTCCCTGTACGAGGGCTGCATTATTTTAGAACACTTCTCTACCTTTTTTTCAAGGTTTATCTCTCCTTTCTGTCTCTGTTCTCCCATAGTATTCATTTCTGCATCACATTAGTACACACCCGGAAGCGAGTAGCCACCCAGTTCCTAAAGGATGTCCGGGAATCTGTCACCCAAATAATGAAGAACCCTAAAGCAAAGACCACAGGAATGGTAAGGACTCTTGGAGATGGATTTCTCTCAAGAGTTAGGGATTGGTGTACGGGATTTGAAAGAATGGAAGGGCCCCAAGTCTCTTCCTGCCCCTTGCCCTTCAGCCCTAGCCTCTCCTTTGTTCATTGGAAAAGATATATAAACATCCTGTAAACTAGCATCTGCTCTAGAAGCACAGCTGGTGGTAACATCCATTTGAAAAGACAGTTTTGATTCAGCAAAGGCAATAAATGTGTTTTTTCTGGAATTTTCAATTGCAAATCTCATAGAATAGTTTCTTTATGCAGGAAGGCAGACTGGAAAGTACCTGTGAGAAACACAATGCCAGCACACCAGCTGGCTTCCTGCCAGAGTGATGCCGAGGGGCTGGCACCAGAGGAGAGGGGGATCGTAGCCCCAACTTTGCTTGTCCATCGTCACTAATGCCATGCTCTTGGTTGGCTTTGTAGGGTGCCATCTACGGCAATGCCCAGACCATCATTGACAGGAATTTGGTTGCGGAACTGACATCGGTCTTCCTGAACAGCCTGTACAGCACAGACACGATCGCCCAGGGCCCCCAGATGAATGGGGCTCCAGAACCCCGCTGAGCCAGCACCTGTCTGGCCCACAGGGGCCTCTGACCTTCAGAAGGTTCTAGGGGGTATGGAAGAGCCATGCACAACTTTGGCATCTGGTCTTGACCTGGAGCACAACCAGATAGACCTTAAGACAACTTGAACCTCAGGATTCCTGTCCCTCTTTTTGTTGTCTTTCTGTGGTTTCTAATTTAAATGCCCCAGGGATTCTGTCACATAATGAATTTGCCCTTGTTATAGATGTTACCCTAGGAATTACTTTAACCTCTTCCTTCTCTAACTTCCCTCTGAGCTTCCCTCACCAATGGTGTAGCAGCTCTGCCCTGTGGGATGTGAGAGCCTCCTGGAGCTTCTCTGTTAAGACTTTGCAGGGTTGGGGCTGGTCCATCACAGATGGTTCCCAGGTGGCGTGGGCACTAAGTAGGGACTCCTCCAACACTCTGCTCCAGGGTAGGCTAGCTCTCTGGCTCAGCGTGTCTCTCTCTCTTCTCGTGACTGCTTTTACTTCTCTAGGATGCAGCTTAATCAGCTGTTGTTCTCTGTTAGGAGTGGAGTGCATGAGCCACCTGCCCCAGTCTCCCAGAGCAGAGTTGAATACACCGGTTGTACCTTTCTGTACCTGCAAAGCCCCCTTGGACACTCAGTTGCCACCGTCTTTGGAGACTGTTGTTTGCAACCAGGTTCCCTTTAGTTTTTTGGATTGTGACAAGAATGCAGTTTCTAGAGACTTTACAACTTTCTGGCAAGACATTGCTTCCCTGAATTGGCAGTTACTGCTGCACACCTGAAACATCTCCTGGCCAGAACAGAGACTAGTTTCTCTGCTTTTCTGAACATCCCAGTAGCTAGAGCATGCAGGTCCGAATACATGTCACCGAAGTTGGCGGCGGTCCTTGCACCCCCACTGCCTTAAGCTGCCATGTCCTGAAATGATGTCTACATGAGGGGACAGCTCAGAGCACCTCTACCAGTGGCCGTGACTTGCCTTAGGTGGGTGTGGGGAGAAGTGGGAGAGTCTCTTTCTTTCTCTATGCTTGTCCCACTCTCCCCTTTGCTCAGCTCCCAGAGGCACTGCAGCAGTCTCGCCTTGGATATTGGACTTCCCGGCCCCAGCCGTGGGGGAGCAGTGCAGGATGAGGTTACATTTTGGAACAGGACAGCAAGTAGTTATGTGGCCCCAAGCTGGAATTCCTTCCCTGAGACTCAGGGTGGTGCAGGGACAGGAGCATCCCTGCACCTACTTCCTGCCTTCTTCTCCCCTGTCTGGGTGCCTGATCCAGCCGAAGCCACCATCCTATCATGACGTCATATCATGTGCCTTTATCCTCGGCTGTGAGCAGGCACCAGGGCAATGGACCCAACTGCGAGGTTTCTGCCTGGGTCAGCAAGGACTTAGGAAAAGTGAGGAGAAACTTTCCTCAGGGACTCTGGAACATTCAGCCTCTCTAAGTTGCTCACCTCTAGTTTTTCACCACAGGCCTCCTGGTGGGGGAGAACCTTTACTCCCAGACCTTACATTAATCCTCAGCACACTTGTCTGGCTGTCCTTGAGCACTGTACTTGTCACCTGTTGACTGGGGTGAGCTGCACAGGGCCTTATAATTCTGGGGTGTGTGTGTGTGTGTGTGTGTGTGTGTGTGTGTGTGTTGGGGAGGGAGTGCATTTCTTTCCTGGTTGCTCTGTAGTACTGTGTAGGTACCAAGATTCTGTATATGAGAGAGAGAGAGGATGAGAGAGAGGCTGGGAACCCTTAGGACATGGGTGTCACACGGTTGCTGAACTGGCAGGCACCTGCTTGAGAGGGTATGACTAGTCAGATGCATGCAAGGCCTGTCTCAGGCCTCCAGAGCAGCACAGAGGCAGGCACCCTCAAGGATGTACTGATGCTTGCCAGTGTCTCCCCAAGGACCAGACCTCTGAGCCCCTCCTGTCCTCTGTGCTGGGGCAGCATTGGTGTCCCAGGGCTCATGGTGTTTTTCAAAGGGACCTACTGTAGCCACTTTACAATTTACAGCCTTAATGCACTTAATGACTTAATGCATTGGCAGACTTTATTTTGTGTATGTTGGTGTCTGCACACAGTCATCCCTCGGCTGTGGTCCACACAGGTGGCCAGGGTGTCTCCACACTATCATTAGACTGGCAGATGTCCCTCTGGCTTCTGCAAACTGTACTGTCTTCATTCTTCATTAGAACTAGTCATGTGAATATATTGCCATGTGACTTTTATTAAGACCAGTTTTATACTTGGAAAATGGTACTTACTTCTTTTAAATTTTCTTTATCTTCTCTAGCCTTCTCTCTCCTATTTCCATGCTCCTTTCCTAATTCAGCAATAATATCTCTAAAAGCAATTAAATAATTAAGTGTCTCAGATTGTAAACCTTGTGTATGGTTGCGTTTGTTGATTTACTTGGGTACATAGATCACAACATGGGATGGTGGCTGTTGTTGAAGAGCTGTGCGAGAGCTCCCCCTGGTGGTGAAATGGTTCTGTTTAGCCACAGATACAAAGTGAGTCGTGACTGAGGACTGTACCTTTTAGTAGGTATCTAGCGGACTGGTCTCCACACCAGTAGTGGTGGGCACACCTGTTTTAGCAAGTTTAGGAAGACATCCTTACTGTCTATGACAATATGCTCACTTCTCAGCCTCCAGCCTGTATTACTGACTCATCTCGGAGGCCACAGTATCTGGGATGCTTATAGGTGCTCTATTAAGTTGTAAGCCCCACTATCTTCTCTTTGGTTCTCAGTAGCTGGGAGCAGGTTTCAGCTGGACCCAGCAAAAGCAGAGATGATGACTGAGGCCAGCTATCACCTGGATGGGCAAAAGCCTTTAAAAAAAAAAAAAGATTTACTTATATATTTGAAAGGCAGAGTGACAGAGAGATCTTCAGTATGCTGATTCACTACCCAGATGGCTGCAGTGGCCAAGGCTGGGCCATACACAGGTTAGGAATGGAGAACTCCAACCAAGTCTCTGACCTGAGTGTCTGGGAACCACGTGTTGGCGTCATCTTCCCCTGCTTTGCCAGGCACAGTTAGCAGGAAAGTAGATTGTGAGTGGAGCAGCTGGGACACAGGCTGGTTCTCTGATGCCGGACGCTGGCATCCCATGCAGTGACTTTACCCAGTGTGGTACAATGCTGGCTTTTCCTTGGAATCTTCTTTGCCTTGTTTTCTCTTGTGTTTTCTTCCTTCTCATAATTTATTTTCTCCTCAATGTCCTCCTCTGTAATTTTAATTGTTTGGATTAACTTTAGAATAAACTTTATTTCTAAGTGAGTTTTTGTCCCATATGAAGATACTTTAGCCAACTGTGATGCTGTCTGTGTTGGCATTGTTCAACCCTTGATCCACAGCAAAGCAGGAAGATGTATCTCTGTGCCTGTCCCCCAGTCCCTAAATGAAAGCACACTTGAAAAATCTAGGAGCAGAGCAGGTGAGAGACCAGCGCCATGTGTTGTTGATGTTGAACTTTGCAGAGATGTTGCCATCAGCATAGGTATTAACAGTCTTGTACTAGCATGTTGGCTAGGAAAGAGTGTCCTGCCATTCTTACTGTCCATGACAGTATGCTTACTTCTCAGTCACCACCGTGTGTCTTTCCTGGCCATTTTGGAGGCTGCTGACTCATCAGGGCCGATGGTTCACATTGTCAGTTGCTTGCTCCAAATCCCTGTGGCCATTGGTGAGTTAACTTGGTCCTTAGGCAGGACTTGTAGGTTGGGAGTCACAGGTAGGAGCATTAGGAGATGGGTTGGTCCGTCTGTTTGCATCAGGGCATATGTGGAATGATGGCATGTGACATGCACACTGCCTGTTCCCAACAATAGCTCATGAGTGGCTGGCTCAGGACCTACAGGAACCAGCTCCGTTATTGCTGAAATAGTCAACAGTCTGTCAGCTCCTACATGCTGCCTCCATCATCTCACTAGTGGAATTAACACAGGTGACCCCTGAGACCTTTGCTATAGTTCTAAGAAACTATAGAAACCATCAGGATTGAAAGTCAGCATACGAAGGCACATCATATTAAAAGATTTTATTTTCATGCAAAAATAATAGAAACTCAACCAGTGTCTTCATAATTTTTCCTTTTGATTATCCTTTCTGTGCATAGCTTTAACAATATAAACTTATCTATGTTTCTATTTTCAGTTAATTTTTGCAAACACTCTCCATTAGGGTTCTCCAGAGAAATAGAAGCAGTATCCGCAGTGAAAGAAGGGGATGTTAAATAAGGAGCTAGCTCATCTGATTCTGAGTCTCAAGGTCTGCATTTGGAAGCTGGAGACCCAAGAGAAGTGACCATGTCCTTCCAAGGACCATGTCCTTCAGAGGCCTGAAGACCAGAGATACCAGAAAGGTGGATGTTTTCACTGGTCTCTGAGAGCCGAAGTGATGGCCCAGCTCAAGATGGTTGAGCAGCTGGAGTGTTCCTGTGGACCAAAGGGCCAGCCCTTTTGTTTATGCCTCCAGCTGCCTGGATGGGAGGGCCAGCTGCTTTATTCAGTCTCCTCATTCAGTTGTTCACTCAGATACACCTCGAGGACAGATGCAGAACCAAAAACCTGAGCAGACCGTCAGGTTGACACATAGTTAGCTGGGAGGAGGATGATAAGGCCCCTTTCTAGATGATGACTGCCTTTGCAAATGTTGGTTCCGCAGGTATAAAAAACACATGCTTAGGCCTGGCACGATAGCCAAGTGGTCTCACCTTGCATTCCCAGAATCACGTGTGGATGCCAGTTCATGTCCCAGCTGCCCCACTTCCCATCCAGCTACCTGCTTGTGGCCTGGAAAGCGGTAGAAGATGACCCAAAGCCTTGGGACCCTGCACCACCTAAGGCCCAGAAGAAGCTCCTGGCTCTTGGCTTTGGATTGGCTCAGCTCCGCCGTTGCGGGTACTTGGGAACTGAACCAGCAGATTGAGGGTCTTTCTCTGTATCTCCTCTCTGTATATCTGTCTTTCCAATAAAAATCAGTAAATCCTTAAAACACACAAACATGCTCACACACCTTCATGTCGTTCAGGTGCTCCTCAGCCACTTTCATCACTCAGCACATTTCATACCCTATTGTGTAGACTAACTATTCATCCTGTCTGGTAATAGCTTACCTGCTTCCTGTTTTAGTGCTGTAGATGGTAATGAACCTGTAGGCAGGGTGGGTGGTCCCTCTTTTGCCCCCAGTATCTTGAGCTGTACTTAATACAGAATGAGCCTTTTAACTTAGATATCTATTGAAATCGACCTGTGGAAAAGAAGGTTCTAGAGCCCAAGACCAAGTGATACAGTAGTTTTATTTAAGGCAGAAAAGCCCAGGTGTTTCCATTGCGTAGTCTGAGGTTTATTTTGGGGCCCTAGGCTCTAAGACAAGCTTCTTGGTAAATGAGTTTGAAAGGAAGCTAGGCAGCCTATTAGGAAATAATTACTGTGATGGAAAAATTGTAAGGAAAGGGGAGAGCTTATTCAAATTAGTGTAACGTAACAGCCCAGAGGACAAAGATGTGCATGGGAAAAAGTCCTCGTTCCAGGTGGCACGGTGATGCTGGCATCTTCCTACAACAAGGCCTGATCCCTACACAGAGGCAGGAAGTCTCGGGAACAGAGGCTCCTCCGTGCCCTCGCCGCAAAGGGAATCAAAGCACAAGGTCTAAGTCATGGACACTGCTACTTGTTCAATGAAGCTGGCCAGGTTTATGTCCCGTTCTGAAAGGCCCGCACATTCATGGGTGCTCAGGGTGATGTGGACCTGAAACAAACAGAAATTCAAAGCTACTCTCTCCATTATCCTTACTAGCTGTGGGAGTCAGTGTCACCACGGGTTCTGGAATAGCATGAGACACCACCATGTCTGCCTGCACATCTGTAATGAGACAGCTACCCAGTCTCCTACTGCAGCTCCCCTTGGATGCACTTCAAAAAGAATGGCTATGGAATTAAAAAAAATTAACATGCAGATATATCAAGAACAACCAGAAGGGTAAAGACAAAATCAACCCTGACATCCAGACACCATCTCCTCCACCCTGAATGTTTGCAGAGCTCTGACTACATGGCAGGCGTTTAATGCCTGTTTCAATTCATTAAGCAGACAGTCTGATCTGCTGTGCCTGGATATTCTGGGTTCAAGTTTATCCTTTCCCTGATCTGTACCTCCAGAGAGGTGCACGCCATTTACAGAAGTTAACAACTTCACAAGCCAGAACCCCAGAACTTCGGGTTTCGTCTTCCATTGTCTAGTTTCACCACAGATGTTTGAATTTACATGTTTGGAATCTGCCTGCTTCCTCTGGGGCATTTATGTTGATTCTAAGGAACAAGTGCAAAGGACCAGAAGAAGAACCTGTGAGTGAGGAGGGCCCAGAGTTAAATGTGAGGAAGAAGCCTTCAGAATGGGCTGGAGTTCTCAAAACCTGGACGGACACAGCACCATAGAGTGACCACTGTCACTCACCTTGTTGTACACATTAAACCATTCGGGATGGTGGTCCAGCTTCTCAGCCTGCAGGGCCACTCTTGTCATGAACCCAAAAGCCTGGGGAGTGAAGTAAGATCCAGATTAATGTACTGAGACAGGACTCCTGGGAACTGTTCTGATGGCTGAAATTGACCTGCCTGTGTGCAGAACGGACCAGCTTCCTTCAGGGAGACCCTTCTAGCTCCAATCAGGTCCCACTGAACATCCTCCACTAGTTCTGAGGCTTGAGCTAGAGGCCGTGTCTGCAGCTGCGAGAAAGCCCTGTTACTATAGACACGGCCAAGGTGCACACACCACAGGAAGCTTTAGCCTTGGCCCATCTCCAGCTATAAAAAGGTCCCTGGATGCACACCTATTGGCTACTGGAAAAGTTCCAGGTAGGGACAGCCCGAGACACATCCCTACTCTCTCCAGTACCCAAACATGACAGTTCCCAAGCTAGCCAGGAACAGTCATTTTCCCCCAGGCATAGTCCCCAAACCAGTGGCTTAGAATAGCATCTGCAAGCCTTGACTAACAAAACTGTATGGAAAAGATAAGCCTGGAGTGAGACACCGCATCTCCAGCCCCAGTCTGAAACCTGCCCACCCTGGTGCCATACCCTGTTGAAGTCTTTAAAATGGAACTGTTTGAAGATGGCATCACGGCCCTCCAGTTCGTTCCACCCCACAGCCCGCAGGTTTGGTAGCAGCTGGTCCCGTTCCTCTGCACTCAGTCTGTGTGCTTTGCCAGCCTGCAGGAGAGAAAGGCACAGATCCAGGGTCTTTCTCTGTACTGGGGCCCTGCTTTCATGTTGCAACCTGCAGGATGGGTTGGTGCCATTTGAGACCGAAAAGTTGAGCACCCCCCCCCTCCCCGGAGTCTGCAACACAGTTAGATGCCACCAAACAGAATACATTGAATCTCGCCAGAAAGACTCCGGTATGGTTTGGATTGCCATGAGAAAGGGGAAAAAAAAAAAAAAAAAAACAAGCCAGGAAGCTCATGGAAGAAGGCCAAAAAAGCTGGTTGTTCTGCAGGCTAAACTCTACCATAGCAGTGCCAGCTGAGAAAATACTGATGAGAAAGACCCAAGATGATCTAAACACTCCTGAGGAGGAGGCAGCTAGATGACTGGCTGCCAGACAGAGGGGGACAGTCTGTAGCTAAAGTCCTTCCAGACTGATTAAACAGGAACAAAAAGAGAAATGCCTCTGCCTAGGAAGAAATGGAAGTCTTAAAAGTCAGACAGGCAAGAGAACAGGTACGGGAGACTATGGCTCATAATGTCTTCTTGGCTCCGAAGGGCTGTATGAGAAACCACTTTGATGTGAAAGATTCATTAGACCAAAGGGCTTAGGTTTCAAATAGGCCACGTGATACATCCTTAGCCAAAAGCCCTCTTCCAGCTGCCAGTACTTGGTGTAAAAAAGAACTTGGCCCCATCACCTACAACTTTGGGAATAATCACCAAAGGTACTGTTGCTGAGGTGAACGTGAGCAAGCTGGGCTTTGTGACAAGGAGGCAAAGTTCCCAACAGTCCTGACATAAAGAGGGATGCATCCAGACAGTTTGATAGCAGTTCCATACAAATGACTTCTAATCATGACTGAAGACTACAAACGAAATGGAACTACCCTTTCTTTGATGAGTCTGAATCCAATGTACAGCCTTATGCATCAGCAATCATCTAGACAATGATTTATGAAGCTGTAAAAATATTAAAATGGCTCAGTTTTTTTTTTTCCTTTAGGATTCCAGATCTTCAAGGAAATTAAAATATTTATTTATTTGAAACAGAATGACAGGGGAGAGCAAGAGATCTTCATCTACTTGTTCATTATCCAAATCTCTGCACTGGTCAAGGCTAGGCCAGAACAGAGCCAAGAGCCTGGGACTCAGCATCTGTGCCTGCCACATGGGTGGCAGGGACCCAAGCATTTGGGCCCTCACCTGCTACTTTTCCAAGCACATTAGCAGGGAACAAGGTCAGCTGAACAGCAGGGACTTGAACAAGTGCTCAGATGTGGAATGCAGGAAGGAGCTTGACTCCCTGCTGCACGATGCCAGGCCCCTTTGGGGGGCTTCAGCCTGCCCCCACTGGCTGCTCTGGCTGTGGATGACCAGAGGGCAGAAGGTCTTTAAGCCACAAGAGGGAAGTCTCCAAGGGTGGCATTCTGCCTAGGAGGTGGGGTCCAGACTTGTTCCCTCATTGGTTCTCAGGCCTGATACTATCTGAACATCCCAAGGGAAATATATAATTCGCAAACTAAGATCTGTTAAAGAGGAAGGGAAAGCAAACTCACACCTGGTACAGGTGAATCCCATCACCTCCCTTCAGGAACAAAATCCTCTTGTCCAGCCTGGCCTCTCATACCACTCTGTCCTCCTCACTCCCTCCTGGGAGCTTCGGGTGTGCTGAAGAGGAAACAGAGGCCTCGAGAGAGAGGAGATCACTCGTCTGCCAATCCTGCCACCTCCCTCCTGGTGAGGGCACCAGCGGCCTTCCCAAAGCATGTTGTGTGTGCCATTGTCTGAGGGCAAGTCAGCTCCCAGTAGCCACTGAGCTACTCTGCAGACAGCAACCGCTGGCACCACTGCATCATGCAGCCTCTAGGCCCTGGCAGCCAGGCCCAGGTCTCAGATTTGCCATGTTCTTTTCTCTTCTAGAAGCTTTGAACCAAGGGCTCAGTCCCCAAAGTGGACGTAACTTGGTCAAGGACAACTGGCCAAATCTAGTGTCCCATCCTGTTTACCTATTGTGCAAAATGCCTTCCAGGCAGCTCAGTCCGGCACTGACCAAGCCAGGAATGACAAGGGGACGAGGGTCAGTTCTGTGCTCTAGGAAGGCTGGGGTGCAGGAGCTGAAGGGAGTCCAGAACCATG